CATGGCTGCGCCTGTGGGTAGAAGCTTTACGTTCAAAGGCGGGGCTGCTCGGACGTGTGAGCGCCTCGCGCAGTCGTCTGAATAGACCACGGTTAGACTCGGAGCAACTCACCTTGTTGTCTGAATCCCCCCCCCCCACCCCCACCCCCGGCTGGCGGGAGCAGGGATCCTGTGGGAAGCCCAGCGGCCCACTCCTCCTCCGTGGCCCCGCGATTCACAGGGGAAAACCCCAAACCTGGAACTGAATCAGTTCATTCCCATGTTGTTTTCTTAAAAGTTTTATTTATTTATTTTTAAGTAATCTCTACACGAACCCAAGGTCAAGAGTCGCACGCTCCACGGACTGAGCCGGCCCAGTGCCCCACGTGTTCATGGAGATGAGGCAGGCCGTGTGGCCCCGGGGATGTGGTGGGGGGCAAAGCTCAGGCTTCCCTGCCTAGTGGTGGGAGGGAGGTGCATTGAACTCTTAGCTAATACACGGTTACCTAGTGGGGCTCTGGCCATCCCATCCAAACCCAGGGTGTGAGCTGGGCCCTCCGTCCTGGGCCCCTCCCCCCAGGCTGCCTCAGGAGCGGCCAGGCTTTTACTGGGGCCCAGGGGTGCCATCCGATCTGCAGGTGTCCTCAGGCAAGACAGAAGTAATAGGACTCTAATTCTCAAATGGGTGGGAGACGGCCCCCGAAAGGCACGTGTAGGATACGCAGCACCTCCTGGCAGAACGTCCCCCAGGCTCTCTTTTTCCTCCTAAGTGCACCACCCGAAGGGCTCAGTGTGGGAAAGGACACACTGGCCCTGGAGACAGGACCTTGGCTGCCACTAGAGGGCCACCCTCCTGGGTTTAAGAGGCCCAACTTCACCCGGTTTTTATCATATTTCATTAATTTTCTGGTGCAAGCCTCTGAAATCTAATCTTACATCGCTCTCAGCACATGGCACTTGAGAATTCATTGTCTTTCCTATCACTGCGCCATCCAAAGTAGCTGAAATACCTTGCCTTTAACTGAAAAGCAGAAAATGTAGCAAATGTATCATGTTTCAGCCACTTTGGGGGGGGGGGGG